ACCCAGGATCTGAGAGTCTGGAAGCATCCTTACCTAGCAGTGGTTTTGTGATGAAGGCCCGCTGATTGTCAGCCATCACATGTCAGCACCACAGTGGTCGCCTTCCCTGTGGGTTCTGTTACCTCCACAGTGAGGACAGAATTTGAGCCCAGAAGATCTTTCTGAGCTCTGAATTCTCACCTCAGTCCACGCTTGGTAGAGTGGAGCATATCGTATATGCCAGGCACTCTCAAGAGATGCTTCCGGAGCTAATTGAGTTATCTTCGGATGTCTCCGGAAGGGAGGAACATTGCCATTCTTTTCTTCACAGAGAGAAGGCCCTGAGACACAGAGAGTGTCAGACACACGAGTACACACATTCACACAAGTGCAGGCAGAGCTGGGGTTGGAACCTGGAGGCCCAGAATCCAGTCCTTAACCTCAGCATTACACTCAGCCTAAGGAAGCTGTCATGCTCCAAATGTGAATCCCTGATTTCAGTAACAACCACAAAACAAAAATCTGGAATTTTCCTTTTCAAGTGTCTCAAAAAAAAAAAAAAAAGAAAGAAAGAAAGAAAGAAACAACCTAGTTTTGCAAATGATTCTACAGATTTCTAGTTTTTCAAACAGAATTCTAGATAAGCTGAGAGAACCATGCAACATGCTGTCATAACTTTTGGCATTCTTGCAAGCGAAAATCAATCTGCCTCAGCCTTGAGTTATTATTAACATTGCCACTTTTTATTGCTGCATCAATCACAAGCATACTGAGATGGATTAATGAAGTTAATTGTTTTTGGAAACTGAATTAAATGCAAGTGCTAATGCTAGGTGACTAGCTCTGGCACCATGGGCTTTGCAGAGGAGTGGGCAAGCTGTTCCAGTGGCGCCTCCAGAGATGTGATCGTTTCAGATGTCACCTTGACATTCATTGCCAGTTCTCTTTGTCTTCATGGCATAGCCCTTTTCACTCGTAGTCAGTTTATGGGACATGTCTGCGAACTGTCACATGGAAATATTCCAGAGACATCATTTAGCAGAGATCATCCCTTTGCCACCGCTCTGTAGCAGAATACCACGGCTGGGCAGCTCCTGCGACAGACATTGCTTTCTCATGGTTCTGGAGGCTGGAAGTCCAAGATGAAGGTGTCAGACATGCCTGGTTTCTCCTGAACCTGCTTTTTCCCCCCTCCCTCCCCTACCCCCCATCTGGCAAATGAACTCACATGACCTTTTCTCCATGCATGTGCACTCCAATGCACAAGTTCAGTTGCATTGGAATTCACCTTCAATTTTAACTTATCTCTTTAAAGGCCCTGATGCCAAATACCATCACAGTCTTAAGGCTACGGCTATTAATACTTCACCATATGCATTTGGTGACCATATGTACTTGATGGCAAATACCATCACAATCTTAAGGTTATGGCTATTAATACTTCACCATATGCATTTGGTGACCATATGTACTTGATGGCAAATACCATCACAATCTTAAGGTTATGGCTATTAATACTTCACCATATGCATTTGGTGACCATATGTACTTGATGGCAAATACCATCACAATCTTAAGGTTATGGCTATTAATACTTCACCACATGTATTTGGTGGCATAACAGCATCTTTCGTCAGTTTCTGGTAGATATAGGCAGGAGGAAGGAAGCCCATTCCTAAAAGCACTTGTGGGGCAGTTCTAGACTCTTCATTCTGTCAGAAATGTTCATAATTCTCAGATAGAAACCCATAACAGACCACAGAATTTTAATCTAAGTCCCCATTTCAAGTGGGGCTGGAAGTCTTAGGCTAAAATTTTGCCTACGAATGGTGGCTCTCTGTGTTCTTTAGTTTTGTTCAATCTGAACTTAAAGTGAGGACAATCCCTAAGGACCAAGAACAAAGAAGGATCTGAAACTGAGACATGAGACTTGGGCCTCAGTGGGTGGGGTGTAGCTACCCCAGATCCCAACATAAAGTTGGTTGCTCAGAGGTCTAACCATGATTAGAAACTGAGGAGGAAGTCCGCAACAAAGACCTGATGACGGAGACAAAGCTGAGCTCTTAAAGAGCAATAAAGTTATTAAAAATCAGTTGTCAAGATAAAAGGCAAATTTCTGGGAGCATTGTTAAATAGGATCCATTTCCCCCCCAAAGTAGCTTAGTGTCCCTGCATTAAAGGGTGAGACACCAAGGTTTTAGTTTCAAGCCCAAACTGGCAGATACACCATTTAAGTGCAGCCCTCTGATCTACTGGCCCGTTCTCTTGCCCTCTGTCGTCAGCTCGAGGGTCCTGCTGGCCACGAGAAAACAGCATCCTTGTCTTTCCAAACCTAAGACTGGCCATGTTTCCCAGGGAAATCAGAGTATGAGCCTGAAAAGACCTTCCCCTGCTCCTCCGTGTCCATTCCTTGTGACCCAGCAGGAACCATCCAAACCAGGACCACCAGAGACAAGCTGACTACTCCACTCCATGGGATACTGGCTGTGTTGTGATAGAAGAGTAGGTAGCTATCCTCAGGAGGAAGGGCAGGGCTCTGTGAGTGCCACAGAAACAGCCCATGCCAGGGCTCTACTCTGTCCTCATTGTAGAGGCCTCTGTCTTAGGAAGTCCCCGTGTCTGAAGCTCTGTGCTGGCAAGTGAGTGTGATGGAAAATAATTCTATTTTAAAGAAAAGAGTTTATCCTGAGCCAGATTGGCATAACTGTGTCTCAGGAGCCCAGATTTAGGTGACTGACGTAACCCCTGTGAAAGACATACTGAACTTTTGTAGCCGCCGAAGGAAGTCATAAGTCAGTACAGTCAACAGATGCCTTGTTGTGAGTGTCAGATGGGTGGGCTGTCTCCAAGTAGGAAATCTTTCCTATAGGCTTCAGATATTACTTCAGTCTTAGTTTTAGGTCTGCTAGAGGCTACAGGTCTGCTGAGCTTAGCATAAACACAATCTTAGAGAGTTATCCAAGTCTTGAGAACACTAGGTTAGAGACAGAGGTTGAAAGTCAATGGCTGTTAGTGGCTGAATGTAACCGAGGTAATTTTAACTCTCAGCCTACAAGATTCCATCTGTGCACTGTTACAGCACTGAACTCGGGCTAGATCCGGCATTCTCCAGAGTCTTAAGACAGATGGGCTTCTCCAGAGAACTTCAGCTCCACGCCATGGTGTAAGGCTTGGTGAGCATAGGGCCGCTACTTGCAGGCCATGTCTGGAACAATGCTACTAGACGATGATACCCAGGATTGTTGGTGGGGGATCTGCTGTCAGATACATTGGGGGAGACTTCATGTTCCACCCCATCACCAAGCATCTTGATGTACATTAGCGCAGTGAAAGCTCATAAAAATCTCTCCTGGACCCATTTGGGGGTGGGGAGATGGCCGAGTTGGTACCATACTTGCTCTGAAAATCCGAGGATCTGAGTTCAGGTTCCTGGCACCCACATAAAAGCTAGTTTGTGTCTGTAATCCCAGTGTTAGGGAGGTGGAGATCGACAGCTCCTCAGAATTCATCTGTCTCAAAAAAAAAAAAAAAAGCAGGCAGAGGAAAGACAGAAAGGCCCAGTGTCCGCCTCCAGCCTACACACACACACACACACACACACACACACACACACACACACACACACACACACAGAATAATCCACTGGGTTCTGTCTGCCTGGCATTTCCCTCACTCATTTCTTCCATCCTAGACTCTCCAGCTCCACCCATCTCCCATCATGTTGCAAGAATTTCCCACGTCACACTGGCTAGCTTGACTCCTGTTAGAAATAACAAGTGTGGGTGCACATGTGTGGACATTAGAGGCCTCGTCCTGGTGTGCGCCTGGTCATTTCTCAGTAGGGCACACAGTGTTCCTGTGGGACCCAGCTATCCCATATTCCTATATACGGAGCCAAGGAAATGAACAGAGACACAGAAAATGACATACATATTATATACATGTTATCCAGAGCTGCAGTGCTCATGACAGCCCAAACTGCCCACAACCTACATGCCCATCACCTGGTGAGTGGGTAAATCAAAGCGTGGTATATCCATGCAGAGGACAGTCGTATTTGGCATTAAGAAGGAAGGAATGAAGCCCTAATCCATGGGTTGACACAGGTGAACCTTGAAAATAACGCAAAGGAGCCAGTGACCAAATTCTGTGTGTTTTATGATTTCTTCTCCACCTAGATGTCCAGAGTAGCAATGACTGATGGTTACCAGGAGGCAGGGAGGGATGGACGGGGAAGACCGTTCATGGGGTGGGATGACATAAAGCAGCCATAGCAATGGTCGCACTGCCCTGAATATACTCAGGCTGTGTCAGACAATCTACCCAGGTGAGCGCTGTTGTACGTGATGTATGTTTCCATAAAGCTGCTTTTAAAAAGAAAGTAGCATCTGCCACCAGCGGCCTTCGTAGCACGGTTTGGGAAGGATTGTTCTGCATGGCTTTGTGAGCCATCACTGGGCTCCGAGATTCACCCAGTAGCCGTCGCTCTTGAAAAGAACCCGTCAAGAGCTGGGAAAACAGCCCAGTGCTTCCTCTGAAAGCCTGGGGACTCGAGTTCAGATCCTGGCACCCACCTAAAAGCTGGGCAGGATTCATGTCTGTAACCCCAGTACTAGGTAAATTCCCAGAACTTACTGGGCAGCCATGGCAATGTCACCCTGGCCAAACCACCGGTGTTTGAAGAAATAAGATCACTAGGCAGGGTTTAAATGGCCCATGTTATGTCCATTATGACAGAGAGAGCCTAAGGTAGCCACTTTGCATGTGACTTATGTTCTGCTCACACTGCTATTCTTAGAAAGTACTTGAGAGGTGATTAGAAGGAACACAGAAGCCTTGGGAAGTTTCTACGATACAGGAGGGCACGGAGGCCTATATCATGTCCAGTCTCCTCTACATCACACTACCCTCCCCTTGTTAATGATTGCTACTGCTCTTGGAGTCCGTTCAATAACTGTGGCCTTCCATCCACAGGCAGATGCACCTCCACCGTGGTCACCCCACCTTTGTTTTTATTTCAGTGAAAGCTGGTGGAATGCGGATCGTGCAGAAACACCCACACACGGGAGATGGGAAGGAAGAGAAAGACAAAGATGAGCAAGAATGGGAAAGCACCAGGTGAGAGACGTCTGGTGAATCGAGCAGACTGCAAATGACCATTTGGTTAAATAGTAATGTCTGTTCTGTGCTTCTGGTACCTCCTGGACTCCTGGCCCGTAGGCTGTGTGTTTTTCTTTCCCATCCTGAGGCAGGGTTCTGTGCTAACAGGAGGGAGACCGTGCAGCTGAAGTGTACCGTCTGGCTCACCTCTCCAAGCACCCTGTCCTCTGATTTAGTCAGGGCTGGCTGCTGAGCCCAGGAGCTGAGCAGGAGCATAGCCTCACCCTGTAGCACATTAGTCTGGGACTGAAGGACACACAGCTTCCACCTCTCCTGGCAGGTCACAATGCTGGAATGGAAGAAATAGATTCTTGTGCTTGCTTGAAGGTTCTTTGCCTAGTTCAGAGACGAGTGTAACTGCCCATCTGTGGACAAGAGCTCTCCACTAGGGCCGCAGCCTGAAACGCCCTGCAAACTCCTGTGATCACCCACACTAGTGGAATTTTAGCGTCTACAGGGGCAGGGTAGAGAACTTAAGACTTGAGAGGTGCTTTGCAGGCAGATCTGTAATAAGCAAGGCTCCCCCTTCAAGTGACCATGTGTGTCCTTCCGTGACATCTTTGCCCCAGCCCTCCTGGGTCCTGCATTCTGTTTGCCCCTGTTTTCCCTGAAGGTCCTGATCTCAAAGTTTGCTTTGAGGGATGCATCCTTCATCGTGGGTAACCCAGTCATAACATTGTCACCACAGACACAACCGTGAATACATCCACGTGGAAGAGCATCGGCAGTAAGGTTCTGTGCAGACAGTGTCTCCACTATAGCAAGAAGGAAAGGGGGTGGAAAGAAAAGGTGGTCCAGCCTCTAGATTCTGAGGGATGGAAAGTTACCTGCGTGTGTAGGAGCAAAGGCGGGATGATCCCTTGCATTTCTTTGTGACTTTCCTATGAGAGGAAAGAGAACAGCTGCAGGAGATGAGCATCTTAAATAACGGAGGATGAGCGGTGTTGAGAGAAAGATTGGGTGTGCGCGCCTTAGATTACAGCACCCTCGTCGCCTGAAAGATGAATCAGTCTCCTCCACATCTGTAAAGTCGGAAACGCTGAAGCAAGCTGATTGCAGCGTGGGGTCTGCATGGATGTAAGCAAAGAGTCTCTGTTGTGCTTTTCTGAAGTCAGATTGCTGTGTTCCCTGTGGGTCTATTGGCTTTGGCTTGGCTCTTCACCAGTGTGGTTTAAACCATGTGACCTAATGGGAGCATATCACGAGTGGGAGAAACCTAAACACTAGGCTGTTGACTTGTGTTCCCTGTGCAGGTATCATTCCTGGTACCCTGATGTAAGTTTTACTATTACCATCCTCCTTGCTTTTTTATTGGGTGACTGAACAATCATAGCATCGTTAGTAATGATTATTGCTGTTGCTTCTTTGGGGACTTTGAAAATACTTTTTATTACTTTTCTGTGTGTGCACATGTATGCCACAGTCCACCTGTGGAGGCCCGAAGACAACCTTCAGGAGTTGTTTCTCTCCTTGCACCAGGTAGATCCCAGGAATTGAACTCGGGTCATCGGGTTTGGCAGCAAGGTCCTTTATCCAGTGAGCCATCTTGCTGGCCCGACTTTTGGTTCTTTTTGGGGTTTGTTTTGTGTTGTTTTTGAGACAGCTCAGGCTGGCCTCAGGCTCACAATCCTGTTCCTGTCTCTTGAGTGTTGGATGTGCAGGTGTGTGCCACCACACCAACTAATCATGGCTGATTTGTGATGTGTAAGGAGCCTGCTTGTTCTGGACATTCCATCCACCTAAATACGTGGGACTCTCGCCACTCTTGGTTATTCCCCTGTTTCAGAGTTGGCTATTGTCTCCATTCCAGAATGCCCCCCTTAGCCCTCCAGAGAGTACACTTAGCTTCTGTAGGCTCTTAGCACATAAGTGGCAGAGTGCAGGCAGCTGGCTCCTTGTTCCTCAGGGTCAGCCTCCAGGCTGTGCTGACCAGTTCAGCTCCTGTTTGGAGATGGGCGCTTGCTGACTGATTCCCATCGGGTTTGACACCACCTAAAACTCAGTCTCACTGTGCCCATTATATGGATGAAGAAAGCAAGGCTTAGAGAGATCATTCAGCCCACTGATGCTTAGCCAGACTTCAGCCTGAGAAGCCCAAGGGCCCCTCATCAACACAGACTGCAATCTGGATCCTTCTCTTTTTAAGCTGAATTAGTTCTGGAAGTCCCTACTTCTCAAATCCATAATCCTCCCTTATTTCTGCACCTTCACGGTATCAGTTTTCAGCAAGGCTCCAGTTTCAGGGCCGGCTTCACTTTATATATAGAAAAGCCTGTTTGTTTTCAGAATATATAAAATATGTAGTCATCCTCCTGGGAAGGGCATTTGGTGTGCACTCTGAGCATACACATTCTCATACGCCCAAGCTTTTATACCGGCTATGAAAATAAGCATGCTGTCTACGTCACAGGCCAGTTTCCCCCCAGATCCACGTTTGCAAACTCCTTTTTAAACATTGCCTGGATATTTAAGACTGTTTACCGACTCATTTCTGGTGTCTTCCTCCTTCCTCTTGAAGACAGAGCAGTGATTACAGAGAAAAATGAGTATTCAGGGCCCTGAGGAGGTCATTTTGTGGCCCAAAGAATCCCACAACCTTCCCTGGCAATTATTTTCTCATATAATCTTATGCAGCCCTTACTTCCATAATCTTTAATTTCCTGGAGATTTAAATATGCCTTATGCGGCCAGGCTGTTTTGAGATGTTACATTTGAGGGGAAAGAAAGACTATATTCAAAACCATGAAAATTGGAGCTGGAGAGATGGCTCAGTGGCCAAGAGCAATGGCTGCTCTTGCAGAGGAACCAGGTTCGATTCCCAGCACCCATGTGGAGGCTGACAACCATCTATGACTCCAGCAAGGCATCCAATGGCTCTTCTGGCCTCTACAGGCACCAGGCACATGTGGTACATACCCATACATGCAGAGAAAATGTTCTGCACTAGGCACATTTGGTGCATATACACGCATGCAGACAGAATATGCTCATACACCTAAAATAATAAAAGGTGGGAAGAGAGAACCTTGAGACTATTCTGAGACCGCACTCTTGGTGCTCCTGGTATTTTCTCCGTCCTCACCGCTCGCCCCCACACACTCTCTCTGTGCTCCTGTACTCCTGATATCTTGTGCCTAACGACACCTCTCCTGAGAACCAAGCCTGGGTTTGTAGCACTTGCTGTTTCTGACATCTAAATACTCCCACCACAGCCTGTTGGAAGTAGAAACATGATGTCACTGGCATAGACATGTGAAGAGGGACCTAGCCGGTGCTCACACCAGAGTTAGCTCAAGCGTGCCAGGGAATGCATGCCCTTGTAACATAGTTTGTTGTTGTTTATAGGCCATAGTCTTGAAAGAGGTTAAAGATAGGAAATACTCTGTGATCCACGGTAGATGTCCACGTGTTTATCTGTCTGGTGTCCTCTATAGTGAAGGTGTGCAGCTTGGGAACAGGTTAAGTATGCCCCTCAGACACTCAAGTGTTGAAATTCAGCCCCCACTGTGAGGCACTGAGAAGTGGAAAGGTCAGTCCAGCGGGCTTTAAGAGGTGATTAAGTGAGTCACAGCCTGGACCCCGTGACTGAATTCTAGTGGCTTTATATTAGACAAGATGGGGGCACGGGAGAGTGACACACGTGTGGTACCCCCAAGCTGCCCCGCACCCCTTGGGACTGTCACCAGAGACGGCCCCTGACATTGGCCTAGACCATGAGGTAAAAGCTCTTTTCTTTAGAATTAGATTACTCCATTGTAGCAACAGAAAATGGACTATGACAGAACGTCTCTTGGGGACGAATGCTTTCATCTTATCTGTCTGAAAATGTATAGCTCTGCTTTAACTTTGCAAAGATGGCGTCTTCGTTAGCCTCCTTGTCACTGTGACAGAGCCCATGACATAAACAACTTAGAAAGAGGAGAGATGTGTGCTGTGCTGGAGGGGTCTGCTGGCGAGGGTCTGTGTGCGCTCATTCAGCTCTGTGTTCTCAGGCAGCGCGTTGTGCTGGAGGGGTCCGCTGGTGGAGGTCTTCTCCTCTGGGTGGGCAGGAAGTGGAGGGGCTGTGGACCACGGCAGCAGTGTGCTGGTTTTTCAGTCTTTCCCCTCTCTGTCTCATGGCTGTGGTGATCCAGAGCCCTCTGTTCTACCATGCCCTCCCCTCCATGATGGACTGGACTTTCAAAAGTACGCCCAAATCAATCTTTCTTTCAGTTGTTTCTGGCAAGCGTTTGGTCACATGGTAAAACCAAGGCGAAGAACTGGAACTAGCAATGGGGTCATCGCTGTGACGGCCTGGCTGTGTAGACCAACAAGAGTGTGGAGGTGCACGGCAGAGACATAACTGTGGAAGAAACGTGGCCCTGGGGCTTTACGTAGGAACAGGGGGGTCTCCTGAGCATCCCCTCCTCCCCTACAAGAGAACTCTGATCTCCTGAGGTCTGTGGAAGTGATCACAGTTGCTCCACTTCAAGGTGGCACTGGCCATGTCCAGCCTGGAGGAAGCCTGCAGTGTCTGATGTCCCGTGGCTCGTAGATGTGTGCCTTGAAGCTCTGCCTTTGCCTTCCTCACACTTAGCCTTCTCCCATTATGTGTCCCCATGTCCACATTTCCCCTTCTTACAGCCTTAGGGGCTCACCTTGGTGACCTCCCTTTACCTATCTCTGTGAAGACCCTATTTCCAAATAATGTCATATTTTGAAAACTTGAAGGTTTATCACTGCACCCCCTTTTGAATGAGCCCAAAACAAATGCCAAATGATGGCTCATTGCAGTCTTAAGGGTTCTCTCAGGAAGCTGTCTATGGGGATAAGAAATAGGGAACTCAGAACTCTAAAGTCAAAAATAGCATGGCTATGTGCCACTTAGATCAGAAGGCCCCTGTGTGAGACTGTTTATGTTTGAACCTCGATGGCTCTGTGTGGTGGACAAATGTGAAAATCATCCATACGTCCAGTGT